AAGGAGCGTCCATGAAAACACCCCATTCACACATGTCAAATTTCACACACACAATAAGAAAAATGACCACGCTTGGTGAAAACACAGCCACAGCACAACACAGGACCCGCCACCACAAGGGGCACTGCTCCCACTGGCAGTTCTCAGCATCTGAAAAATGAACCGACATGTGGAAGTTAAACAAAATTACACACAGATTTCATAATGTCTACTAAGTCACCCATTCTAAAGTCAAAGGTGGTGCTGGCTAACAATATGAACAGAGACTCAATTAAAAATGGACAAACCACAAAAGAAAAAAAATCACGATTAGGCCAATCCTCTTGGATATCAACAGCAAGAAAAGGCCTCCATACAAGAGTAAATAATAAATACATAAAAACATTTAAGTGATGTCAGTCCATAAAACACTCTACACTCAAGCACTGATTCACAACGGAGACAGGAAGGAGGATCAAACAATGTTAAACAGGCAACGATGTAACACGCTAGCCAGCCGCCTGTTAACTTGAGCTAATAATTGAGTTCAATACTCCTTGGTCGAGTGTGAATAAGGCAGCCGGGTACGACATAACTTTAAATCCATGAACATGTAACGTGAAGAGTATAAGCAAAGCAGCAGATGTTCAGTGTCGATGTAGCCAACTTGTGGCCGCACCCCCGGTTAAATAGCACTCCCTAAAATGCACAGGATGTCAATTTACAAATAGTTCCCACATTAACCATTCAACTATTACTCAGTATAGCAACACACCTATGATTATCACAGGCCCTGAGCTCTGATTGCTGATCGCAGGGCGCACACTCAGATGGTGAAAGGGCTGCTGCTGCACTGGGAATCCTATAGCACAAAACATTCCCTATAAGCCCAAGCTATAAAGTTAACAAGTGAAAAGAGAAACGAAGCCAACCATACTTGCGGCGCTATGGTAGACCGATAACCAGGCAGACATCAGATCGCTGGGCAGGTAAACAAGACGCATAACGGTGACACCATTTGTCAAAATAAAAGTCCCAGTTTATAAAAGGGGTGTAGCCCTCGCGATTGGCTCAAAGTTTACTGCCCAGAACCACTCACAGCTGCAGCAAATGAAGCGTCACGAGGCATGAGCCAGACAACTGAATCATGCTACACAAGCATCCTGCCATACTCAAGATCTTCATATTTCTGACCTCATTCTGCGACACTTTCATCAAGAGGTTGGTCATGGAGGCAGGTATTACATTTTATCCAGATAACATCAGAAATACTGGATCCCTGGTGATAGTGTTTCCATAAGAAAGATCTTGTCGAAGTGTGTGGTCTGTCGTCGTCAACATTGATCTCTGCAGGTCAACAGCAAATGGCAGATTTGCCTGAAGACAGAGTTTCTTATTAAGAATCTCCATTCTGTTTTGTTGGAGTGGACTATTTTGGTCCATTTGAAGTCAAGCGCGGGAGAATCCTTGTGAAAAGATATGGAGTCATCTTCACATGTTTGACAATAAGAGCAGTTCACCTTGAAGTGGCTTCATCATTGGACACAGACTCTTTCGTTTACGCCTTGAGCCGTTTCATAGCCAGACGAGGACAGGTTCAAGAGTTACACTCTTAAAGGAGAGCGTAAGCTGAAAAGAGCCATTGAAGGATGGAATCTTAAGAGGATTAATGATGCTCTGACTTTAAAAGGGATCAAATGGATCTTCAACAACCAACTGGATCACATCATGGAGGAGCATGGGAGAGGTTGATTCGTTCCATCAGGAAAATCCTCAACTCCACTTTGAGGACACAAATTCTGGATGAGGAAGGACTCCACACAGTGCTTTGTGAAGTCGAGTCAATTCTCAACAGTAGACCTATTACTAAAGAATCTACTCGGACTTGAAGCATTAGCCGCTTTCCGACCGGAGGAACTTTTGCAGTTCCTAGAACCTAACGTTCCTATAACCCTTTTTTTCTCGTGTTCCGACCGGACTAAATTGGGGATTTTTTAGTTCCTCAGACCGTAGTTCTTATAACTCTTTCAGTCTAGAGCAAGGACTTTTTTAGTTCCCTTTCCCTAGGTCTTCGTTGATTGGTTTAACTTATAAGTCATGCCCACTGTCAACATGGACGGAACTTGTAGTGCGCTGTCTGCCATACGCTGTGTGTTTTTGCAAAACATTACAACGAGGATTAAGACAAACATAACGCATTCAACCAGCTAATTGCTAAAGCTAGCTAAACTTACCAGTCATTTTGTTTGCCTCCTGCGCTCTGCTCTTTTATCTTCTTCCATCATATTACTTATCATATTACGCTGGAGCCTTCGTCTTCTGTGTTTCTCTGTACAGAACTCAAGCATAATCTTTAAACGCTGCCGTTCGTTCTCCATTATTAAGGTCCCGGCAAGGCAGAACAGGAACATTGCAATCGGTCTTTGTTTTTTTGTTTTTTGTTTTTATTAAGAACAATCTTAGTACAGACATTTATGTATACAGCAAAATTAACATACAATATATAAATTACAAAGTCTTTGATACTAGGGGGGTATTGTAAACTTATATAAAGATATTATAACATTTGCATATTTTCAATGTTTTAAACGCTTTTTGCTTCATAGAAAATCGGAGTGAATCAATATAAAGCTCAATTTTTTCCTAAATAAAATAAAATTAGGCTTTTTACAGGAGAATTTGCATTTATGAATATAACATTTTGGCATTAAAAGAAAGAAATTAATTAAATAATTCTGATTGTGCTTAAATGCTGGTTTGTTGTTGTTGTATGTGGCCGCGCTACGTCTAGTGATGCTATAAAGACCGTCGCCGTGCTTGCGTTACCCCTCCAACCAGTTCCTATGCCCACTTTGCCCGTGCGAACGCAAGCAGCAAAACCGAGTTTGGGGGAGAGTAGTTCTTAGAACTGTTTAGAAGTGGACAGTTCCTATAACTAAGTTCCTATAGCTACTTGCTCGGAAAGCGGCTAATGACACCTAATCACCTTCTTCTTCTTGAGGTCAAACCATTCTTACCACCTGGCCTGTTTCAAAAGGAAGATGTCTATGCATGCTGGAGGGAAGCAGGTTCAGTATATGTCTGATCTGTCTTGGAAACGATGGACTTCAGAACGTCAGAAATGGACAAAAGTGAAGCGTAACTTTATCCCTGGAGACATAGTACTCATATACCCCCTTTCCACCCCAAAAGAACTGGTTCGGAACTGGTGCTGGTTCAAAGTTGATTCAGAGTTGGTTCAACTTGCGAACCCGTTCAGAACCTGTTTGTTTTTCCACTGACTAGAGTGCCCAGGGAACGTCGTCGTTATGTCACTGTGTACGTCACTAGAAACGCTTGCAAGTACATTGCTTTGGGATTATCTCTAACTCGTGTACCAAGAAAACTTTAAAAACAATTGAAATATGTAAGTCTTTTAATTTTTTCGTTTGATATGTAATCTTTTCTGTCTTGTGTCTTTTTTCTTTCCATTTATTTGTTCTATATCGTGACAGTTTTCTTCTTTGCTTATGTTTCAAATAAAAAAAAATAAATAAATAAAAACGCTTGCGTGTTTCTGCAGTTTCTCCTGGCTTTGTGATGGTCAGAAAAGATGTTTAGAACACATCTAAACCCGCCCCAGCCCTCGACGTAAGCATGACGTGGTAAAAGAACGGTTCTAGTCCAGCAAAGAGTTGGTGCCACTTTGGAACCAGTTTTCCCGGCCACGAACCGGTTCTTTGGCTGTCGAAACACAAAGAACTGGTTCGCGTGCAGGCACCAGTTCCGAACAGGCTCTCAAAATGCTTCGGTGGAAAAGGGGCTATAGTGGATGATCCTGCACATCGTAATTCCAGGATCATTGGTAAAATCACTGAAGCAGTTCCTGACAGGAGGTGGTCTGGATTAAAACTCCAACCAGCTGTGTATGTAGGCCTGTCACCAAGATCTGCCTTCTTCAGGAATCATCAGACTTGTAATCTAACTTTGAGACTTACAACGGACATAATCATATATGATGGTGAACATTTGTCTCAATGGACTATGAATGTATGACAATGGATATTCCTGCATGTGTAATGAATAAGTAATTACTGTGTATTAACTGTAATAATTAGGGGCCGGAATGTAAGAGCCAGGTATGAGTTTTTAAACGTTCCCCTTTTTGTCCTACTCACAAGTTTTAGCCACATGGTGTGGGTGCTGATAGTAAATTAGGATATCACCTGGTCGCCAGTAAAGAGAGGACGAAGAGAGGGGGTGACGGTGGAAAACCTATTTTTTGCTGACCGCGGTTCACACTGTTTGTGAAATGTATTGATATTTTCGCTGTATAGAACAGATCACCTGTACAACCTACCTGCGAATAAACCATCAAAACTATTTCAATTTTTGCAACTTAAACAATACAGAAGAATGAATTCATATACATAAAAAGTGATCAGTTGACTTAACTTAAAAAAGCAAGGAAACCATTTGGCTTAAAATTATTAGTAAATAAACTTTGTGCGTAATTTAATGGAAGTGTCAAGTTCACATAACTTAATTTTTTTCAATTACGCATGAAGTTTATCACTTTTTTTAAGTTAAGTCAACTGATCACTTTTTACAATGTGCCATCTGCCATATTTTTCCACCTTTGTCATTCTAAAATATTACATTGTTTCCATGTTAAAAACCCAAAACAAGAGACTGCAGTATCAGCCGTGAACCCTGCTGGTGAATTCCAGGGCATAAAACAACATCCTCAGAGGCCATTATACACAATAGTGAGAAAGACTTGTGGTTTAATGCCTGTTTTATGCATACAGTCTCTTGGTTTGGCACACAAACTGTGGACTGGAAGCTAGAAGCGAAGAGTCACCAGAGTCAGAAACCGTATATTCACATGGTATTGTTTTGTCTTTTCCTTGGCTTAAACCAACAATGAGTATGACTTTGTAGTATACAAACAAGTATAGTAGAAACACAAACAACAGTACTGTGGTGCAGGCCAAACATCATCCATAAACATGAGATGAATTCAGATAAAATCAAGGAAGCAAGATAAATGAAATGTTTAATTTTCCCACGATGCACTTCAAAAAAACTGATGACTAGAGATGGCAGAATATGGAAACTGAAGTTCAATGACCTTCATGTTATAAATAAGATGACGAATCTCCAATAACAATGCAACTGGACAACTGCTAGTAAGTTGCACAAATTGTCAGTTTATGAATTTGATGCAGTTTTTGAATGAGCACTTTGCGGATTGCACTGTATCATTAGGGCCAGAGCACCGATGGTGCGAGGACCCTATTGGAATTGCTCTGTTTATTTTCCATTTATGCAGGTTTTCTGGTTTATTTTTAATACATTTTAATCCATCTTGCCTAAATGTACAAACATTATTTACTAAGTGATGATTTATCTCACAACACATTGGTGTATTATATTTTAAGTTACAGTATAGTGGAAATAGCTGGAATAAAACAAACTTATTATAATAATTTATTCTATTTTAGTCAGTGAACGCATTATTTAACAAAGAACAGTTGTAGGAACATCATTCAGAACACCATTTGTAATTTTACATTGAAAAAGAGCACACATTGAAAGTGAGTTGCTTGGATGCACAAAGCTGACAGAAACATGCCAATGTGAGACACAGAGCTGAAGTGAATGCGCAGAACCGCTTCCAGACAAATACAATAACGCAAAGGCTCTGGATCCACAGCAGTTCACTGAGTTTTACAATCAATATCTCCTTCACTTGTCCCCTTCAGTTTCTTCAGTTCCACAAGCAGCTCCTGTTCCAGTGTTAAAATCTCCTTGGGCTTCTTGTACTACAACAAAAGAGAGAGAAACTCCTTATAAAAATCCATTGCTGGATGGAATAGCTGAGTACTGGAGCAGACAACAGAGGTGAGAGCAGTTCAGTTCAACCTTCTCTACTTGGGTGAACCAATAAAAAGTGACGGCATAGTTGCCCTTTTGATGATCTGAGAGACCAGAATTGTGTGCTCTCTTAGTGGGGATTAGGGTTTTGGCAGTCTGGTCCCAGATCCATGCAAAAGGGAAAGTTCCCCTACGTGATGCGGAAAAAAACTGAATACATACCTTACAATACAGAAAGAGCTAAGAGAAAGTGATTAAGTGAGACTAGCGGTGAGAGTTCACTCACGCTGATGATTAAAGTGTTGTTGGCGTGTGTAAAACTCAAGGCTGCGCTCTCCAAAGGCAGCTGGCAACGGTCGAGATCTGGAATACTGAACTTCTTGTAGTACCTGGGAAATAAGGAGACGAACAAGAGAATGTTTCTCATGGCCGGCCATCCATCTTCCGTCTAGATCAACAGTGCCACCTATAGGGTTACTGTAGCGGGCTTTTAAACAATTAGTTCATCAACTCACTTTTCACCAGGGTTATTGTAGCTAACTAAAAAATATTTACATTACTTGAAATGCTATAAAACCTTAACTTAAATTAAATAAAATATATAAAAAAACATATTTCCGCTTGTCTAAAAACTTGTGAATAAAACTGATACTATATAGAACTATAATAGTGTACCATATGATAATAAAAGAACACTGCTTTTCACTAGGAATGCTGAATTTATAAGCAGAAGTTGACAAATTTGATTTGATATTTTTATGATTATTATATTTCTCTAAAATTAAGATGAATGCATAAATGAACATGCTTACAAACTTATTTGTAATGTTTTTGAAAGAATGTTTGTGTGCTCATCAAGCCTGCATTTATTTTGATCAAAATTCTAGAAAAAAAAACAGTAGTATTGTAAAATATTATTACAATTTAAAGCGATGGGTTTCTATTTTAATATAATAATAAATATACTAAAAAAAAACAAAAATGTATTTATGTGATGTAAAGCTTAAGTTTAATATGCTGATTTATCATCAATGTTAGAAACAGTTGAAGCTTAATATTTTTTATAACCTGTGATACTTTTTCAGAATTCTTGAATAAAAATATTTTAAAAAAGAACAGCATTTCTTTAAAATAGAAATATTTTGAAACAATATACACTACCGTTCAAAAATTTGTAGTCAGTAATTTTTCTTTTTTGAAAAGAAATTAATACTTTTATTCAGCAAGGATGTGTTACATTGATAAAAAAATAGATTTATATTGTTAGAAAAACATTCTATTTTGAAAAAAAGCTCCTTTTTTTACTTTTTATTCATCAAAGAATCCTGAAAAAACATATAACAGGTTACAATATATATATATATATATATATATATATATATATATATATATATTAACCAGCACAGCTGTTTCCATTGAGAACAACTGAGTATCGCATATTAAAATTATTTATGAAGAAACATGTTGCACTGAAGTCTGGAGTAATAGCTGATGAAAATTCAGCTTTAGCCACAGATATATATATATATATATATATATATATATATATATATATATATATATATGAAGAGTTCAGATGCAAAAGCCTCTAAATGCCATTTGAAATTTTCTTCTTTAATGATGATTTTTATCAAACTTGTATATCTAAGTTCAGTAATTTCACTTAAATGGCAATGATAATTACCTATTAATTGTTATTTAAGTGAAATTACTGAACTTAAATATACAAGTTTGATAAAAATCATCATTAAAGAAGAAAATGTCAAATGGCATTTAGAGGCTTTTGCATCTGAACTCTTCATATATATATATACACACACACACAAACCCCTTATATACAACTATTACTTAAACTACCTACTTTAACACAAAATGTGATACTTTGTCCAATTTCAGTCAGACAACATGGACACATAATTAAAATACAGTCAATAAACACTAAATTACTTAAAAACACTCCTTTCATATGCTACAATAAAGACCAGTTGGTTTTGAAATGGTTTAGCAATTTAAAGCCTCCTACTAACTTGCATTAATTGTAAAGAACTCACTTTTTGTTTGAGGTTCGAATGACACAACATCTTTCCGTCGGCTCTGCGGACACACTGTAGACTTCAACAGGATAAGTAATGTTACGGATCCTCCATTGGAAACTGGCTTTTGTGTCCTTACGCATGAACAATGGCTGTGGGCATAAAAAAAACACTTTGATAAAAACAGGTGCCTAGCACACATCAGTATTAAAACACTGTCATTTAAACATAATGCAAATTGAAAGGAAACCTTACATTTGAACTGTTCTCTTTTATTAAATCAGAGGTAATGTCGTTTGGGTTTGTTTCACCAACTTCCCATGCCCACTGCCCCTGTCCTCCAAAAGTGGTTTTATGTCGCCACTTTCGCACTGAAGAAAGATGGAATGATTATAAAATACAAATTAGATTAGAGATTCATTTAAATGAGTATGATATTCAATTAAACAAAAACAGAAGAAAAAAATCACTTACAGACAAGTTCGTCAGTTTTCAGGTCATACTCCTCAGCCATCTCATTTCCATCCTCAAACAGATAATGAGCTTTCCTTTTCCCTAATGAGAAAGGGATGAATGAGTCTCTCAGTTCATGCTTCACTTTACATCGAACAATATTCACACTTTAAAATAAATAAAACATTATTTTAACAGGTATGTTATGATATTTTGCATTGATTCCAATGCTATTAGCCAGTAGCAAATGTATTCGAACATGTATTAGCAAGACTATTAGCAAGACTGCCAGCATAAATACACCTAACTTACAAAATAGCAAATCAGAAATTAATAGAGAATATATACACGCACCATCCGATATTAAGGCAGTTTTTTTGGCTTTTTTAAGCGCATCTGCCCAGTGTTGAACAGCCATGCTTCATACGCTTTCATTTCCTCAAACAATCCCACGCCTGAAGTTGCCAAGGCAACCGCTATTTCTCAAACCGGATATTTCGTATCTTTAATATATTTACAATATGTATATACAATGAAATATGTAATAATAACTACGAAAAGTATCAACATTAAGTACAAAAGCAAAGTATAATTTAAAATATTTACTTTAAAAAAAAAGCAAACTCACGTGTGACCCGGAAGTTGATCCGTTTAAAAACACTCGTGTGTTGTGTTGTTCCCGAAAGAGGAGCTGGAAAGGGGTAAATATGTTTTTTTTTTTTTAAGTCGTTTAAGTTGTTAATATAAGTCGTTGTATGTATTAAAACACAGTAATCCGTTTATTCGCTTGCTGCTCTGGTTTCATATATGAGGACATTATGGATTCTTCGGAGAGTATTTTTGCTAACTTAGTGCTTTCTGTAGGTTCGATCTGTGTATTTCTGTAGCTAACTAATGTGAAGCCTGCTGATCCCAATCATTTTGTTTTAAGGGTCCTTTCCATACCTCCTTTCCCTACCAATGGAAGGTCATGGTATCCTGAAAGCCTTCCCTAAAGTAAAGAGACCCAGGCCGAATGATCAGAAGGACGCACCTCCCCACAAGCGGACGCACGCTAAACCAATTACAGGTTCATAATTCACCCTTCAAAGTACATTTGAGTAAAGCAACAACGACTGTTTGAGAGATTGAAGCTCCATATTTTACTTAAAGTAAATATTTTGACAAATACATAAAAAATTCTATTTATTCCACTGAATTATGTATTTTTGTTTGAGTGGTTAAGTGATCGTCAAAGTAATTTGACGGTTTAGGATCTTACCGTGAATTAGTTTTAATGAAAATCGCAAAAAAAAAAAAAAAAAAAAAAAAAAAAAAAAAACAATTGCCCTAGTTCCTTAGGTGTTGGATTTGTTTAGAAATTAACCAACCAACCAACCGAAGCAACTAGAACAAGTAGTTCTGCATGGACCACTAAAGTCAACGATGATTGACAATTATAATACAGTGTGACTGTATGTGTTTTTGTTCTGGGTAAGAGCTCACTGCCCATTCATATCAATAACATTCTTAATGACAATGAATGACAGTCTGATTCGAAGAGGAATATCAGAAAGCCAAGTCCTGACTGGAAGAGTGGTGGAGCTGGGGATGGTAGTTAGCTACTGAGCAACACTATAAAGCTGCTGAAATACTGCGAGAGCCTTATATATAGGGATGCTGTAATGGGCATCATATTCTGATGCAAACTTGACTGATGTAACCTGCCAGAACTGATATATAAATAAATAATTGAAGAGTTCAGATGCAAAAGCCTCTAAATGCCATTTGAAATTTTCTTCTTTAATTATGATTTTTATCAAACTTGTATATTTAAGTTCAGTAATTTCACTTAAATAACAATTAATAGGTAATTATCATTGCCATTTAAGTGAAATCACTGAACTTAAATATACAAGCTTGATAAAAATGATCATTCTAGAAGAAAATTTCAAATGGCACTTAGAGGCTTTTGCATCTGAACTCTTCAATTAGAGTAATACATTTATTTGTATTTATAAAGTTTAATTTCCCGCTCATCTCAATGCTTCAGTCAGCTTAATCTGGTATGAGTAGTAGTAATGGTTACGTTTTAAATGTCTGCTTCTTTTTCTTAGGTACATTATTCCAAGGAGTCACAATATACATAGTTCCAGCTGGTATAGGGAAAGCCAGGTGTGATATATTCCATCGACAGATCACCCAGAATGGAGGACAGGTAGTGTCCACATTCTCTCCCAGCTGCACACACATTGTGGTGGATGATTCAGTCGATTGTAATAGAGCTCTGAGGCTTCTGAAATTGGAAAGACTGCCTTTTGCTGTTCAACTGGTCAAATGCACTTGGTTAAGTTCCAGCATTAGTGAGAAAAGATTACTTGCCCCTGAAGACTACAGCCTCCTTCCTCCTGAGAGGTAGGACACTAAAGACTAGACTCAATTGCAGTGGCATGTGTATAACTTGATTGATGTTTAGACACTTGTTTGACTTTTGAATGCATTTGTAAATGTTCTGAAGGAAGTTGTGTAGAACTAAACACTTAATGTACATGTGCTCAGTCCCACAGTTGCCCCTTCTGAGAAGTTAAATGAGACTGAATTCAGCCCAGTTCCACAAGTAGCAGTGGCTCATGCACCTTTGAAAATCCTTAATAATCAGGATCCTCAAGAAAATCCCACAGAGACGGTAAGAAAGAGAAGGATGGGAGGTTATTGTAATATCCATAATTTGTTTTTCCCCCCTCATGGAGTGCATTTAATATGGCTCATTTCACAGGGGCCAGATATTCAGGAGGAGCACCATGAGGAAGATGGTGTGTCTCAGAATGATCTGGAGGCCTTAATCAGTGGCGTTCACCCTTCTGAGAGCAACCAAGACCAGAGTTTGACAGTAAATCCAGTTTTGTCGGGGAAGTGGGTCTGTTCCCAACCATCCACGACTAAAGGGGAGAACCATAACAAGCACATTACTGACAAACTGGAGCCACTGGCAAAAGCTTATACACACAAGGGTGATAAATGGAGAGCTCTGGGCTACTCTAAAGCAATCAATGCCCTTAAAAGCTACCACAAGCCCATCACTTCATATGAGGTCAGTTCAGATGCATACGAGTGTCCTCAGAGGTTGTAGGGTTCATAAAGGTGCTGATTTGTGTTAGGAACACATGGTTGCTGTTGCAAAGGTAGTTTCAAGCGTGCAACAGTTATTCGTTTAGTAACAATATAAAATGCTTTATTATTTAGCTTTTTAACATCTTTATTTAAAATGTGTAATGCATTTTGAGCATGAACAAGATCTGCAAAAGTTTTAAACATTCAAGAATGAAAGCCAATTCTTGTAGACCCTAAAAACTAAATCAAGAATTTGTAAAAGGGCATAATATGGCCTCTTTAATAATAATTTCAGTAAAAAAATAAAAATAAAAAATAACTTTAATAAAAGTGCTTTTGACCCCTTCTAATTATAGGAAGCATGTAAAATTCCAGGCATTGGTAAACGCATGGCAGACAAGATCATGGAAATCATGGAAAGCGGACACTTGCGTAAACTGGATCACATTGGGGAGGAAGTACCTGTTCTTGAAATGTTCACTAATATCTGGGGTGCTGGGGCCAAGACTGCACAGCTCTGGTATCAACAGGTAAGACTGTTATACAAGGAATCTAGTTCACCGTTTGATATTATCACATGTAAAGAAAAAATGTGCATTTGTATGTCAGGTGCCACTGTAACGCAACATTATTATTCTTAATTATATGGAGCCGAAAAAGATATTGAATTAAGAGTTCATCCCCACAATTGATTTTGTTCCCTTGTTTTATTCAAATTGTGGTCACGTTGTTCAAATTTAACTAAACGGAGGGAATGAATTGGTACAATATTGTCACGATTTAACTAAAAAGAGGGAACGAAATAATAAATTATCGCTAAAACAGTTTGGAAAACAAGATTATAGTTGTGTCTTAAAGACGTACTATGCACTTATGTACTATACAGTATGTACTCAACCATGCACTATGTACCCAACCAGTGTTGCTTTCGTTATGACTAAATATCGTCGTCAACAAACCTTTATCACGTGACGAAAACGAGACGAAATGCAACGTAAATGCTGGTCATGTGACGATGAATAATTAAATGTAAAATGCAATATTTTTGACGAATAAAAACGAGACTAAATGTGGTTTACAAAATAGAAACTATGCGTCTCATTTTCGTTGACCGAGACGAGACGAAATCTTATTTAACTTGTCTCGTATACTTGCATTATTATTATGCAGCATTTCTGTTTCCTGTGTCACTTCAGGAGCTGCATCAGATCGCACTGCCCAGACGCAGGCGACTTCACATCCTCAAGCCCCACTCGCGGCATTATTTAGAAGATGCAGTTGCGTGAGTTACGGCTGTTTAACACATACTCCGTGTGTGGTGCGTATGCGGTGTGTGTTAGGCCGTGTGTCCACCAAAGCGTTTTTAGCCAGCTGAAAACGCTAGACGCTCTGCTGAAGACGCCGTGCTTTGGGCGCTTGAAAGCGTTTTGGCAGCGCAGCGTTTTTTCTGTTGAGACGTTTCGTTGCTATGATACAGAATATATACAGCAGTTTGAATGTTGTGACAGTTGGTCGGTGTGGTTTAGTCCCGCCCCTCCTCCACTGTGACTGGGTAAAATGTGACAGTGATGAGCGCTGCGTTTTATCCAAAGTTGAACATTTTTCAACTCCCAGCGACCAGTAAAAAACACTGCGCTCCCATTGAAAACAATTGAAAACATAAGCCAGGGGCGTGGAAAAACGCTTTGGTGGACACACGGCCTTAAAGGGTTAGTTCACCCAAAAATGAAAATTAAGTCATTAATTGCTCACCCCCATGCTGTACCAACCCCGTAAGACCTTCGTTCGTCTTCGGAACACAAATAAAGATATTTTTGATTAAATTTGAGAGCTGTATAACTACCACATTGGCTCCTAAGGGACTGCCTCTTGACGGCCCAGAAAGTCAATGAAGAAAATGTTGAAATATCCCAAGTGACTACCGTGGCTCAACTATATGTTTATCAAGCGACGAGAATACTTTTTGTGCGATAAACATATAGTTGAGCCACGGTAGTCACTTGGGATATTTCAACATTTTCTTCATTGACTTTCTGGGCCGTCAAGAGGCAGTCCCTTAGGAGCCAATGTGGTAGTTATACAGCTCTCAAATTTAATCAAAAATATCTTTATTTGTGTTCCGAAGACGAACGAAGGTCTTACGGGGTTGGTACAGCATGGGGGTGAGTAATTAATGACTTAATTTTCATTTTTGGGTGAACTAACCCTTTAAGGAGCAGCGTGCGCTATTGTGATTTCACATGTGCTGCATTTGCAGTGCGCAACTGATCTACGGCTGTACCACAATCACAACATTTATTCTCTTTTTTTATTTCAAATCAATTTTTTTAGCCTAAATCCATTGTCGTGTTGTTGCGGTACTGTGTAGATCTTT